AAACGTTTGCAAGAAAACAACCAAGCTCAGAGAACCCCAAGGACTCCACAGTTCAACTCTGAGCTACACATATTCTCTTTCATTGTTTTATCTCTCTCTCTATAGAGCAATAACCTCTTCCGCAGAATTTTCAACAGTATCTTCCTGGCATGTGGTATTAGGGCTATTGTCCTATAACTAGAACACTCCTTTAAATCTCCCTATTTTAGGGACTGGGATATACATAGACCTTTTCCAATCTATGGGCCGTGCTGTTTTTCCTTATTTATTGGCAGAGGACTGTTATGGTCTTTGTTATTTCCACAGTAGCTTCCTTCAAGAGGTCTGTGGGGATTTCACCCACCCTGGGGCTTTCCTATTTCCTATTTGTTTTATAGCCCATCTGACATCCTCCTCAAGCACCACTAGATCCTCCGCATAGTCTTCTCTCTCAAATATGATGTCACCTAAGTTGGTCTTCTTATACAGGTTTTCTGTATATTTCTTCTATATTTTTTCCCCATTATGTTCTATCATTAACTCCTTTCCATGCTTGTTCCTTGTGACACTGACACAAGGTTGGAATGTTCCTGTGATTTTTCTGATTTTCTTAAATAGACCCTTTGTTCTTCCCATTCTGTTATTTTCTTATAGTTGACTACACTCTGAGTTCAGATATACCTCTTTATCTCTTCTTGCCTGTTGTTGGAAGTTTGCATTAAGTTCTCTAGTTTTCCCTATGTCTCCTCTGGCTTTTGCCAGTCTTCTTTCCTTAGCTGCTTCTATGGCCTTGCCTGATAGTCATTGTGTTGTTTCTTTCTGACTCTTGTTATGAGTTTTCCAACTTGCTTTTTCACAATAATTTTAACTTCTTCCCATAATTCCTCAGGTTCTCTATCCACCAGGTCTTCAAATTATTTCTAACTTCAATCTTATATTCTTCTAGAATAGGTTGTAAGTTACATCTCATTGGAACTGGATCTTTTCTAGTTTTTTTCAGTCTGATGTGTGTTTCTGTGATTATTAGCTGATGGCCTGATCCACAGGTAGCACCCAGAAATGTTTTGCAATTCAGCTATGAGTACAAAGCTACACTTTAAAGTATCCTTTTCTCAATTTTTTCACTTATTGTTGAAAAATTAATTTGTATATAATTAAAGCAGTTCTCTAAACCAGGATACAGCTCAGAGAATATGTCTTACTTCATCAAATTTAAATGTTCCACATTAATTTGTTCTTTAAATGACATATGGCTATAGTTTGTCAACTTAATCTATGTATTAGTATAGGATCCAAATTGCTGTTACTTCTTCCCAGAGTATGCAATGATGAAGACTATGACTGCTTTTCACTTTATTTCTAATTCCCAAAGTAACATATTTTGCTAGTTATCTGTCTTAAGTTGCCACTTACCTCTTTCAGTTTATCTAGCTCATTTTGCAGTGCCTGTTTGGATATTTCCACCTCAATGATTTGTTGACGAAGAACTTCATTTTCATCCTCTGCTTTAACACGCTTTTCCTCCACATTTTCCAGTTCATGGTGCAGCCTGACAGATACATCTTTGGCTACCTATTTTTTTTAAAAGGTACACAAACATAATAAATTAAAAAGCCATTTCATTATCTAAATAAAGACTATATAGGTTTGAATGTGGAATTCCCACCTATCCACTGACTCTTGGATGAAATAACTATAAAGCTTTTGTTACTCTGAAATTTTTCCACTGGGAACATAGATAAAGAAGTAATGCTTGATGATTGGCTCTCCTTCTCCAGTCCATACTTTCTAGGTGATTGTTTGGATCTACAAAGCAGTGTGGAATTAGTTCACAGACATGGGAAAATATCAACAAATAGTTTTTTTCTCCTCTCCACTGGTTGAAGTGACATAAGAGGAACAAGTGCTCTTACTGGTAAAGAAAAACCCTACCAAATCCAAGATAAGACAACAGAGATTGTAACAAATATGGCCAATTATTATCTATACATTTCTTTCTCCAGAACATTCCATGAAAACATTTAAATAAATCCATCATCCAGATGATTTACACATCATTTCAATACCTCAATTCTTTAAATTCTTCTGTTTCCTTCTGAAGTGAAAAATGTTAACTTCTAGTAGTACTACTACTAATAGTAGTAGTAGCAGTAGTATATCAGCCTTGAACAAATGTAATCACTTCAAGGTCAGTATTATCCACAATATTCTTAAGATAAAGAATACTGATGACATTTCCCTCATCTTTTAACCCTGTATAGATATATATAGATATTATAAAGATTTTTTATTGTTTTTATCATTTTTTATGTGTAAGACACCTAGAGTCACTTGTATAGTGAGGTGGGCAGTGTATAAATTTGACAAACAAACAAATAAAATAAACTACAAGGTTAAGTTCTTGAGGTATTAAACATAAATTAGTTCATTAATCAGATTTAGTGTGATATAGAATTGATCATGACAAAATTTAGTTTCTAAAGTTTTTTTCAATTAAGAAAATATCTATTATTACAGAGAAAGTACATATAAAAATATATTAGAAATCCCTTGGGAACCTTGCTATACACACACAAGTCTTTTGTTCTTCTCATAATGCTTATTGACTGCAATTTGGAGCAATGAAAAAACAATTATTCAGGCAGTGGAAGGCTGGGCCCAATTCTGAACCATTTTTTAACGCAATCCTTCAAAATGCACACAATGGATGGGATATTTCAATGCTACTTCAGAAGAATTTCTGTGAAGACCCGAAGACCAGAACCAGACCAGAAATTTCTAAGACCAGAAAGCTAGCACCTCATTTGAGAAGTGTTTTCTAAGTTCTGAAGTATGTCTATACAGTATTCAAATATGCCCTCTCACATTATTTATTTTATATATTTCTATATCTCTTTAAGTACAAACACATCTCAAAGCAGTTTAAAAAACATTATTAAAATAGAGGTAGTCCTGGCTTGACGATCATTCGTTTAATAACGGTTCAAAGTTACTATGGCCTCGGAAAGGGTGCTTTATGGCCTGTAAAGCACTTCCGGCCCTTACAAAATGTTGCGCCCCCCCCGTGGTCACATGGCTGCATTTCAGGTGCTTGGCAACCGACTCACATTTACAACCAGTTGCCAAGTGACCCGCGATCATATGATTACCATTTGAAATCTCTGCCGGCTTCCCCATTGGAAGCCAGCAGGGAAGGTTGCAGGTGGAGGGGATGCGGCAGCGTGCAGGAATGGAGCTCAAATCCTGAAGATTTGAGCTCTGTTCCTTCACACCGCCAAGGGGTTTCCCCTCCCCACTCAGCGGTGTGAGTGAAGATTTGAGCTCCATTCCTTCCCACCGCTTGGTGGTGTAAAGAAATGGAGCTTGGTGGTATAAAGAAATCTTCAGGATTTGAGCTCCATTTCTCCAGCCCCAGGAAGGATTTCCCCTCCATCCTTGGAGAGGAGGGCAAACCCCTTGGCGGGCTTTAGGAACATTAGAGAGTGAAAGGGCTGCCTGCTGGGAGGATTTCAGCTCAGCACGGAGCTGAAACCCTCTGGCAAGCAGCCCTTTTGCTGAGCTCCATGCTCAGCTGAAATCCTTCAGCAGACAGCTCTTTCACTCTGTCTGCTTAACAATCCAGGAGATCACTTAATGACCACAACCAGGAGTATCTGGAGTGCGGTTGTTGAGTGAAGCAGTCACGTGGACATCTCGCTTAATGACCGCTTTGTCAAAGACCGAGATTCCGGTCTCAATTGTGGCTGTTAGGCAAGGACTACCTGTATATATTTTAAAAACAGATTTAAAAAATTCATTAAAGGAGAACCTCAGCCCAGTATAAACACATAATAGTTGGTGCCTTACAAACTTTGGGTGGTGGGGAAAACATTGCAGAGTACAGGCACCACCACAGAAAAAGCCTGTGAGTAACTGCAAGGTAGTAGTATCACTCTGCATACATGTAGCAGGATTTCCTCTAATAAACTGAGTGATAGATCAGGTCCATAAATTATTATGGTCTCAACGGGGTTGTTGTTATGGGGAAAACAGGGAAGAGAACATTATGTATGCTGCCTTGAGTTGTACAAACTAAAGGCATGAGATAAATCTAATAAATGAATACATAAATTAAGTTATATTGACATATGAAGACCTAGGTTTAAACCTGGCTTGGTAATATGGCAATCAAGTGCAACTGTTTCAAAAGAAGTTGAACATGTATATGGACAGATGCCTCAGTCAGAAACTTCGCTGTTGCATTCTAGACAAGCTACAGTTCCAAAAGGAGCATAAGTTCCCCACATAGAACATACTACAATAATCAAAATGTGAGATTACTGGTGCATGAACAATTGTAGCTAGGCTGTCCCTACACAGGAAATAGCATATATAGTATACCAGCCAAAGCTATTAATAAGACATTCATGGCCATACTTCTTGGATCTTGATGATCAAATTAGGTATGTGTTCTTTTAGAGATTGGGGTAGTATAGAAACCAAGTTAATAAACAAACTCATTTGCAATACATAGACTCCTCAATTCTCATATATAAAATATAATTCCCTTTCTAATTCTGAAATGTCAGGATAACATAAAACTTTGCAATTCTGCCAAAGGCTCTATTCATGACTTCGATGCCATTATGTCTAAGTTCTTCACCCACCTTTAGATCTTGCTCTAAGCTTCTGATTAGTTCTCCATCCACCTGACCCGTCTGTGCAACTTTCAAGCTTTTCTGTTCAGCTTTCCTGAGACGATACTGCAAGATGCGACAGTTCTTGTTTGCACGATCCAGCTCTCGTCGAAGTTCCTGTAGTTGGTAAACATCTTCTTCAAGATAGCTGTCACGCATCTCTTCCATTTCAGCCCGGAGTTCATCCAGTTCATCCTGTTATAACCCAAACAGCGTCAGAGATCCAAAGGTTGTTTAGTCCCCATCAAAAGACATGTACTTTTGTTAGATTTGTATCCCGACATTATGAGAATCATCCAGCATTTACAGCTGCTGCTCTATCTCTATTCATTGTGGAAATTATAGGAAAAATCCTACTGAAATTATATTAAAAGCATGTTGATGCAATTTATAATTTGCATCTTAAGAAATAATGAAAACAAGAAGTCTATAGGTACAAGTTTATATAAGGAACTGTTCATCTGCCACAGTAATATGAGGCCATCTTTTTCTTTTATTAGGGCACCAAAATCAGGCAATATAATTATTTTATGTATATTTATATTACCATAGTTAAGAACCTTTTTTTCTGATTTGCAAATCAAAGCATCAATATTTTATCTTTAAAGTAACATACACTTCCAAGCAAAACATTATACATCAAAGCTAAGAGGAGAGTTAATATCCAGTATATTACAACGCCAATACTACAAACTTTATCTTCTCCGCTGAATAACAAAGGGTTTAGGTTTTACATTAAAGAGTATTTAATTCATTATTGCATAAGCTTTGCTGGACCATATTTCATCAAATAATTTAATTTTTAAGATGCTGCAAAACTGTTTTTGTTTCAAATGATTAACAGAACTACACAGCTATAATTTATGGTCTTTTCTCCATAAATCAGCATCAGCATCATCAAAGCTAACATATTTATATTTTGGCTCATTGTATATTAACTTGCTAGATTGTGACTTGAGGAACTCTATCCTATTACTAACAATTCTATAGTTAAAGCTGAAGATGGAAAGCAATTCTAAAGAGCATTTCTCTCATAGACTTCCAATAACATTTTATCTTCAATTCTACAGGCCTGTTCACCCTAGAACAGAACAAATAATTAAGAGCCCAAAACCAAATAATTGGATTTTTTCCCCCCAAATTACATAGGTATTTAAATCATAGAAATGAAGGGCAGGGAATAATGTTTTTTTTTAATTGTAGCACACAAGTATATCTATGTATATACATACAGATTGTAGCTCAGAGCTGAGGTGTCAAACACATGGCCCTGCGGGCTGCATGTGGCCCACAACAGTTCTGAGTGTGGCCTGAACCAAATTAAAATGTAACTGGGTAATATTTAAGAAAATAAAATAAATATACAACAAAACACAGATATTACTACATTTTAAAGCTAAATAATCAATTTAGTCACCAATCACCAAAACTCCGGGCACACAACTTGCAAGGAGTCCTGTACAAGCTCACTGCCTCAGCTTAACTGCAGTGGCAAAGACTGCTTGGTGCTGCTGCAACGTGGGCTGAGCAGGAGCACCACATGACAGGAGTTCTCTCTCAAGCCCCCCGGGCTGCTGCAATTAAGCTGAGGCAGCAAGCTTGTGCTTTTCCCTGGACAGCATGCACCCAGCCAGCCTTTCAGTAATAGCTGACCTGCTCCTGAGCCCATAGCCTCCAGCACATGAAGGAGCACCTCTCTCCAAAACAAGTTGAATTAATTTCTCTACTCCCTTCAAAAACTTTTTTTTTTTTTTTTTGGTCTTTCTTGGCTTTTCTACTTTTCCTGGTAATTTCCATAGTTTGTTCTGACATCCAGTATGCTTTCTTCTCTATCTTCAGTTTTGGCTGTCTCTTTTCACATTTATCGGTAACAACTTCTTTAAGTTCATTTCACAATTCCTTTGGTTTTCTATCAATGAGGTTCAGGATTTCAAAGGGATTCCTGATGTTCTCCTTGAAAATGGTGAGTATATGTTCAAGATCATATCATGGAAACTGATTGGCTTTCTTCTTCTTTAGCTGAACTTCGAACTTGCACATGACCAGTTCGTGATCTGTTCCACAGACCACCTGGCCATGCCTTTGATGCTTTAATTGAGCCTTTCCACCTCCTTTAAGCAATAATACAGGTAGTCTTCATTCAGCAACCACAATTGGGATGGGCAACTTGACTGTTAAGTGAAGCAGTAGCTAAGTGAAACCACAACTGTGCTTATGATCTTACTTCAGTCTTCCTTTGCTTTACAGGTTGTAAATGTGATGATTGGTCGTAAAGTTACTTTTTCATCACCGTCATTACTGCAAACATTCACTAAATGAGGCTGTTGCTAAACAAGACTACCTGTATAGTCAAATTGATTTCTATATACTCCATCTAATGATGTCCATATATAGAGGTGTCATTTTGGTTGTTTGAAAAAATTACTAGCTATGAAGAAATCACTGGAATGGTTCAAATTGATAAGTTGGTCTCCTGATTCATTTCAGTTTTCTAAGCCATACAATCCAACTACATTTTCCTCTTTAATGTTTCCAACTTTGGCATTCCAGGCTCCAATCACAAGCAGCACATCTTGCTTGCATCTTCTGCCAATTTCAAATTGAACTTGATCATAAAACTTATCAACCTCCTCTTCTGTATCAGTGGTTAGAGTATAAACATGGATTATTATCATATTAAAGGACTGTCCACAAGGTGTAATTGATATTATTTGGTCATTGATTGCATTGTAGCCAAGTACTGTTTTTCCTATACCCTTCCTAACTATAAAAGCAACCCTGCTCCGTCTTTCTTTTCCATGTCCTGAGTAAGAAACAGCATGATTTTCTGACTGAAAAGTATCCAATCCTGGTCCATCACAATTTGCTAATGCCTAAGATGTCAATTTGTAGTAATTTCATTTCATATTTCATTGTGTTAAGCTTTCTTGGGTTCATGCTTCTCATGTTCCATAATTCCAATGTAATTCTCTTTACAGAACAAAAACATATCACTGAAAATATTTCTTCATGGAAAATATAGAAGTATCTCCAAACTGAAAACGATTACTATGTCCTTGCTGCTTCAATTATTATTTACTAATTCTCTCTCAGACACATACACAAACGCACGTATACATATTTATGAATAATAAAATATTCAGGTAAGCCAAAACTGTAAGATATTGCAGCTAAGCACAGTACTCCAGTGTGTCCTCTATACCCTAACAAAGCAGAAGTTAATATGTATTATGGGCTTTTATGATGAGTCAGACTTTGAATTGTAGAAACAGATTCTTACCCTAGAGTTCAGGAGCCAGTGGGCTCTCAGCTATCTGCAGATGAGGCTCAGAAATAGAAAAACTTGCTGGAAGATGAGCCTGCAGTTCTGGAGCAGTCAGATAACCAACCACCTGTTACAGAACCACAGTAGCAGGCTGAGTTAACTATTTCAGAGATTGAGCAGGGAAACATCCTCAGCTCTTGCACATATAGAAAGATTAAGCGAGTAGAATAAAGATATTCAATGAAGTTCTTTGCACAAACAGCCATGATTCAGGAAAATAGGTATGTCTGCCAGGGCTATAAAAGAAGCGCTTAGGAGTCAGATTTCTGTTGGCAAACAACTTCACAAATTTAAATAAGAACGCCCTTAGGGGTCTCACAAACAGTGGGTCCCATAAGCCTGAAGTCTGCCTACCCTCATTTTAGTAAATATGTTTTCTGTATGAGTCACATTGATAAGGATTAGTATCATTTTGCCTCATTACTTATACTAAGGTTGGATAACTGAAAAAGAAGGGTGTGTGTCAATTTTTTCAGGAAATTGGGCTCAAATTAACAGCTTGGTAAAATGGCTGTCAGAAGAAAAATAGCCAAAGATCAGATTTTCTATTAATGCAGTAAACATGTAACCGCTGCCCCCCCCCCCAAACTATAATGGATGGCACTAGCCAAGCAAGTTTCCAGAAGTTTCTGCTGGATTAGAAAACATACACAAGGGGCCATAACTTAATATTTTCTACCTTTAATACAGAAGCCCTGAAGGGACAGATGATTAAAACTCTCGCAAACACAATTCTCTACCTCTTGAAATTAGAAAGTGAGGAAGGAACTTGCTAAAAGGTCTTTGTTCTCTGAGTCTCTGTGGCAGCAGAGGTGACTAAGAGAGAAAACTTTAAGAACCTTAAGCCCACTCCAAATTGGGGAATGTGAATCTTCAAGTATCTTAGAAAACAAAAGCAATCACACACAGGTTTTTAGGCACAATAAATAATCAGAGTGCATTTCTTTTATTTGAAATAGGCTCAAAGCTTTGCCCAATTCCTTTCACAGCTATTTTCTCTGATGTTCCCTCTTAATTTTGGGTGATTGTTTATTGTCTATTTACACTTGCTCTTAGAATTGAAACCTTAAGCCCAGCATTCATATTGAGGTTCCTTTGCTATTTTGAGTTTTCTAATACATTAAATATTATTTTAAATAGAAAATATTGCTAGATCTCTGCAAATTGACTACCAGTTGCTAGGCTTAAACTGCTCTTTTGCTGCTCAACAGAAAAAGGAAGGCTTTTTTTTCCTGTTCTCTTCCTCGTACATTGGGGGAGGTAAAGGAAAGAAGGCGATGGAAGCAAATACTAGTGAAAGCTGTTAGTGCTGCATTCATTCTGGGTTGTCCTAGTTAGATGGGACAGGCCTAGTGGGGAGTTGCTTACACGAACAAGCTTTAGTTAATGAGTTATGTCTACCACTATATAATATAAGCTTCTTGCAAGGGTAGTTCATTAAACATGGCACATCTTTTTCTAGAATAGGGGTAGACAACTCCATGCTACATGTGGCCTGGCAAAGGCCACATTCCAAAAGTGGGCAAGACTTACTTTTGCACCCTTATTCTAGAAGAAATAGTTCTGTTTCAATGGAAATAATGATTAAAGTTATGTATTGTAACATGTTTAGCTAACAAAGACTTCCTTCCAAGGCATAAATATAAATTGCTTGGAATAATATGTGTATTTCCCAGTTCATTCAGGAGGTTACTATATACACTTTAAATATATCTTTCCTAATAAATTCAGTGATCCATGCATCTATGATACAAGGCTTCTTGTCTCAGCTTTTCTATGTTTCTAAGGCTGGTTTCAAACACTGAGCTACAGTATAATGGGATTTGTTTGGTTTTGGCATACTGTGTTATATAAATCCAGTCTTTGTTTT